AGCAGTTACAAACTTTGATAGCGAAGTGATATTTCAACCATCAGGACGCCGGCTGCAGGATGTGAGTTATGCTGGTTATTTCATTGAACCTGGAAGAACTTCAGAAGGCGTTGGAGACAGTAAAAACAGCCAGCGCCAAGTATGGGTTGAGACTGATCCATCGAAATGCAAAGTCTGCATGGTATGCCCCAGAAAATGTCAGCACCATGAAAATTTAGATGAAAGATGTGAAGTACGTCACCAAGTTACACCATCGTGGATTGATGATCAGTAGTGAAGGGAGCTGTGCAACTGATGTCCAGGAAAGAATCAGATAGGCTCGAATTGCTTTTAATATGCTGCAGCAAAATCTGTGGAAAACTGCCGTTAGTACGTCACTGAAAGTCCGCTTATATGTGACAGCTATTCGACCAGTACTGCTGGACGCCGCAATAACCTGGACCCTTACCAAGAAAGAAATGAATGCGCTGGACGTATCTGAACACCCGCGTTTGGTGCAGAATACTCGGATATAGATTGGCTGATACGATCACGAATGCTCAATTATTGGAGGACGTCAGAACGAGTACAAATCGAGTTCAATGGGTAGGGAATAACATCAACTCTGCCTCTGGCGAATACAAGAAACTAAAACTCGCTTCTTAACCACACACTGCGATGGAACGACAAGCGGCTGATCAACAACCTGTTTCATAATGTACCGAATCCACCCTGGAAAAGACCGAGAGGCAGGCCGACAACTTTATGGCTGTACAGCACCAGCGACGAACTGTCGGAAATGAGCCGCACCTACCGGCAAACCGTGAGCCAAACATGGCACAGGGGCACAGGGACTGGCGTGCGATCATGTCCGAATTATCCCATATAGGACACAATAGTAAAGTGTGACAAGAAATGCGGGCATGCCGTAGTTCCCTTGCGACATTTAATAAGTCAATAAGTCAAGATAACTGCCGAAAGAATATTGTTTTTCTCCTCATTTCTTATCTGCAATCAGCGACGATTCAGATAGTAGTTCCGGAAGTTATTCGTATATTGAGTCCTTGTCAGGTGGTATCCTTAGCTTTCATGATGAATACGAAAACCTGTCATGCACCCAGAAGATAAAGACTGGCCATGGATAAGCTGTCTCTTATCAGTCAATCACTAACACATGAACCCTGATAAGAAACGTGCGCTGCATCCAGAGATGAAAACGATGTAACGCGATAATCCGATAATAAGAAACATCCTGCATTCATTTTCCGAGATGTTAGACAAGTATTTCGGGGACACCTAAGTTTTGATCCATTACATGCATTTAAACTGTACCCTCGAAAACCTCAAAGCTTTTTCAATGACAAGTTAGTTATCAGAAACAGTTTCAAAAATAACTGAAATGAAGTTCATCCAAAAGTTCAAATGCGCATATCAAATTCCGATCTAATCATGGCACCAGATTAATGTCAAATCATGACGATAGCGTCGCTTTAATATCTGTTCGGTCGGCCGTTTTCACTTTCATCTACACCGTTCTTCACGAAATGAATGCGCACTGCACGACAACTTTAATATCAAAACTTATCGTCAAAATTTTTTAGCCTTCATCGACGAAACAGTCCTAGTATCTTTCTAGCGCTAGCGTAGAATAATCGGTAAAACGCTTGAAAGTCGAACGACCACGTGTTCAAATCCCGGAGGACCATTCACTTTCTCTCCCTCTGAGGTTGATAAACGAATACCACTTCGTGAGAATGAAAGAGAAGATTATATACAGTGCTCACTACACGACACGCAAAACCACATGACAAACGTCATCCTTTCTTCAAAGGAATGACGAAGTAATTATAAATAATAATACGAAGTTCGCGCATCATTAAACCGGATTTTTGAGACAATGGCAATGGAAGCGGAGAAAAGGATTACGTCACTTTCTCGCTATTTTCTGATATCAGAAACGAAGCTCTG